GGGGGTCACTCAGCACCTTTAGACGAAACTTTCCCAGAGCCGGGACGGGACACCGCGCTGGGTGCTGGATGTGTTTGGGTACTGCTCGACCCTCGGCCCCGTCTTCCCCCTCTAGAGAAGCTTCAGCGTGGTTGGGCATGACTGGAACTAAGGTGTTATTTTCTGACTATTGACAGCAGCGATAAGGTGCTTGGACACAGTGGTYACAGCACAGTTCACAGAATCCCGAAATGGGTCACGTTGGAAGCGACTACAGTGGGTCATCTGGCCCAGCSTCTCTACTCATGCAAGGCCATCCCAGAGCACATGGCACAGGATTGTGTCCAGATGGTTCTGGAATATCTCCAGTGAGGGGGGCTCCATCCCCTCKCTGGACAAGCTGTTCCAGKATATGTTCTTACATAGCATGGGAAGCTATGAGCAGAAAAATGCCTGTGTGCTGTGCTTCTGCCCAAAGGTCTTGTGATCCTATGCCCATCCAAGTWATATTTTTGTGTCCCTCTGCTTGCAGGACAGACTTGAGGCTGTTAGGATTACATGGATTGATCCAACGTGAACTTTTAATTGACATCTATGGGGGCTGAAATCTTCCTGTTGAGGCAGAGCCTTGCAGATGGTTTAGTGGGTGTACACTGAGTTTTCATCCACAGRCTGGGCCTTGAGATTACATACGATTTGTGTGCCAGTGTAAACTGGTTTAAAGTGTCTTTTCCTAAATGACAAAGACCACGATTTATATTTTTTAGGATTTGTGTGTGTGTGTTTAGATATTTGTCTTTGTTTAGGCAGCATCTGTCTTGTATAGATCCTTTTTTACTTTCTTGCTTGCTGCAGTTTCAGAGTCACAGAAACACCATTGCACTGATACTTGTGAGAGCAGATGCAGAGCTCTGTAACCACCTTCTGCCTCTGGTAAAGAACTGGAAGTGCAGGAGGGATGTGTATCTTGTATTGCCATTACTGACTCTCCACGTCATCTTCTGTGTGCAGAGACCTTGGCTCCTGTGTCAGAGGTTGTGTGAAGTTAATTAAGGAATTCCTGTATTCTAATCCCTATGTCGGAAACACGCCAAGCCTGACTAACATTTCTGGAGAGGCAAGATGCAAAACTGGAAGTAAACAGGATCTCGATGCAACAATACTTTTATCTAAAAGAGGTTGATTCTTATCCTGTGATTTGAATTRTTATCAAGATGCTAAAGAGCATATTCCTCAGCAAAAATCTATAATTTCCCAATATAAACTGTTGATGCTAGTGAATAGTTCCCATAGCTGCATCTAGTCTGGCTTAAAATGTAAGGAACAGCCCTTAGTACAGCTGTTGTTATGCACATGAGAGTCTTTGTGCCCTGGCTTTGTCAGCATATTTTGTGTTGTCCAGCTACTGTCTTAATTCATCCTGTCATTTTTGCTTCCAGATTTTTCAAATCAACATCTGAGTCACTTTGTCACTGCCTCTTTGAAGATTCCTGGTGCTACAGCTCCTGTGTGTCCTGGCAAACTGCTATAGCTTCATACCAKTGGGCTCCATGGCTCCATTTCACTTCAGCAGCAGCCAGTGATTTGTTTTTGTTTGGAAAWGATGCTTTTCCTCCACAATCCTCTGCAATGGACTGTAATGGAGGACTATAATCCAGCAATTGCCTGACTTCTATCCCAATTTSAAAGCAGGAGTGTTCCAACAGAAATTGCAGAGACTCAGAATGTTTCATCTACCCTTAGCTAGTTGTAGTATTGAGAGCAGGACTGTGAGATTGTGAAATTAATCGGTCTTAAAACTTCACAATTAATCATAGCACAGCCAGGACTGTGCTCAAGAATTTAAGAAAAAAAAAATCCTTTTGGGTATTAGGTGCCTGATTACCCCAGAAATCAAAGATTGTGTATGTTCTAACTTTGCTGAATACATCCCTGAAAGCAGTTAATTTTATTGCTGATCCAGCTTTTCTGTCTCTTATCCATATGACAACTACAAAAATTGATTATACGGAAAAGTAATGTTAGGAAAGTACTTAATGCATTTTTAGCTGCATCTAATGGGATTTAGCAGCTGGAAACAAGGAGAGCTGGCACTGAGTAATCAGGGCAGTTCTTAGACAGCTGTGTGGGAACCAGAGTATCAGGAGTCTGAAATATATCACCATTCTTTGCACAAAAATGCAATATATGCAATGAAAGTAGACTTGATACTTGCAGCTCAGACAGTTAACCCCAAGCCAAATGGAATTCATTGTTAAATCCAGTTCTGTAATAACTTCTAGATGAAAATGCCCCCGGGTTCTGTGTAATTTTTTTTTTTATTTATTTAATGCTTATGGCTGTTACTAGTACCCATCTTTGAAAGGCCTCAGGTTTGGATTTAAATTCCATGCTACATTAATTTTTAAGCAGAACAAAAATGTAGTTATTTCTGCTCCCYTTTTCTCTTTATAAGCAACAATCCAAGAGACCCATTTTCCTKTTTGGGGAAAAAAACAATTTTATGCATGTTTGTGCCTAGGAATAGCAGTCGGAAAAGCGTCTTGATAAAGTGGCCCTTCCATAGGTTTTCTGTCTGAATAGTTCTTACACTCAGTTCCATTTACAAATCAAAAGCATAATTTTTCAATGTAAGCACCATAAACTGAGTCTTGAATCTGAAATGTCAGACTGAGTTCTTTCCCCCTGTTACACCATGGTCAGTGTTTTGTCACTGAAATACATTGAAGTTATTTGATGGTGCCTAAAGGGGAATTCAGTTCCACTGAGTGGGAATGGAATCCATCCATTTTTCAGAGTTTTAGTCAAAAAAATAAGTTATATTTTTTGGTCCTAAAGTACTTCAAGTATTTCACAGTATTATAAAAAAACCCAAAAAACCGAAAACCTAAACCAGGGATGGTGCCTGGAGTATAAAGGTACCATATTTTCATACTGTTCTTCTTATGGAAAGAAATTACCTTGGGATGAAGTCTAAGCAATCATGTCTAGGTCTGTAATAGGATTATTTAARTGGAAGCCTGTGGAACCAGAGCTCACAATGCAGGATATCCTTTCTATAATAATTTTAATTCTGCCTGCGTATTCTTAACCAGTCCTGTGCCATTGGTTTATAAATCCACCTCACTTCTTTGTGTTTCGTTACATTTAAGGAATGCATCCTTGGCCTTTCCTCACCTTAAGGTGAATTCTGTGCCGTGAAAACAATTTCTAGAGCACAATTCGTCTACTAGATTCCAAATTTAATCAAAAGTTTTTGAAATTATGCATCACCTTTTGTACTTTTCCTTTTGCTAAAGCTGTTTTCAATGCAGTTGTAAAGCTGTTTTGATGCTGCTAGATACCTTGGTTATTTTTCCATTTCAAATTGGTGTCACTGMGGGAGCAGTATAAAATGTTTGTTTGAATAGGGATCACAGATCAAGAAGTTGAGTTCAAAATGAAGATATCCTGGAACTAGTAGTAAACACAGCAATACTGAACCTGAGAAGTCAAAATAAACCTCTGAGAAAATGGAAAATTATTCCCAAGTACAGGCAAAAATGTTATTGCTTTTTAATGTGKAATCTTTT